CAGGGCCGGGCGGGTGCCGCGGGCAGGGCCACGGCGCGTCTCGGATGCCGCGGGTCCCCCGCCTCTGCACGCCGCGGGTCGTCGCTGCGCGTCCCCTGCGCCTGGCTTCCCTGGGTCTCGAGCAGGGCGTCGGCGACAGCGCGTGGAGGCACCCCACGGTGGCTTTGTTCCCTCCGAGTCCGTTCGACCTGCGCAGGATGTCTGCAGATCCAGCGAGCACGCCGCGTGTCTCTTTCGTGGGCTCGACGAACACAGACAAGTCTGGGGCACACCCATGCCGTGGTCGATCCCCTGCATCGAAGGTTCATCCACAGCGGTTGCCTCCATCCGCAAGTCCGTCGCCGTCTCGCTGCGCCCAGGCAGGCGAAGCGGCGAGCAACGCGCACCGGCACACACATATATATGTATATATTTATATATATATGTGTGTATATATATGTATATATACATACACACATATGTTTTTATATGTAAACATAAATGTTATATATATAGATATTCGCGAACAGGCACTCGTGCACCGCGCTCGCGCGTCTCCCCACGCGCACAGGTCATGTCCGTTCGTGGCCACAGGTCGGGATGCTACACTGTTTGCAATCTGCATCTGGCTTCGGTCCAGAGTTTGGCAGCGCATTGTTGGGCATCTGAGTGTATACCTACGCATACACACAGACTGATGTGTATGTCTACATACATACAGATATGTACACATAGGCAAGGCAGGGGGTGAAAGGAGCACAGCTGAAACGCACCATGTAGCAAGGACTTCTAGAGGCTGGGCGGGAAGATGCAAGGAGGATGCTTCCGTGGTTTTGCTCAAATAGGTGGCGCGATCCCCTCGCCACCCCTGTCACGCTTCGAGTCTTGACTAGTAAGTCGACCGGTTCCTGATGATGATGACTTGGATTGCAGTCGAGCGTGCTGAATCGTCCATATTGCCTGTCTTTACCTTTCGGCGATTTCCGAGACACTTCCCAGCTCTGTTTGCCATTCGGAAGAATGCCTCTCATCTTGTCTGCGGACGACTTCGTGCGTTCGCCGGTGCTGCTGTGCAGTTTTTTTTACCTGCTGTCTGTCTGGCCCATCTTGTGTTCGCCGAAAAGGGCCGTCCTGAAGGTACGATCGCAACGTGTTCTGCTGCGTAATCCGTCCAGAAACGCGCACGTTATTCAATGTGGGCTGAGTGCATTCCGATGTGTTCAAGGAGTGTAGATTGACCCTGTCGTCCGCTCGGGTTGATCTGAGGCCTGTTGACAAATCTTTGCTGCGCCCCCGTCACACGTTGCAAGTCATGTTGGAGGTCGAAGGCCTCTGGATTCGAATGTCGGTCTGTTCGGCCTTTCCAGGCCACATTTTACTCGATGCGACCTGCACCTGTCTGAGCTGGGGGGCCGTAACAGCACCTTGACAGATGCAGCTTGGATTTCCAGGAGGGGCTGCCAACTGCGCAAGTGTCGCCATGTCTGTGATCTCCAGGGAGGTCCAGCGGATAGACGTCTTACAGACACCCATAGCGGACCTCGCCTCCCTGCGGGCTGCCGACTGCGCATTTGTCGCCATTTTTGTGAGCTTCGAAGAGGTCCAGCGGAGCGCGGTCATTGTGCCTGCGCTGGGTGGTGCAGGGTTGGAGTCACGTTGTTAGGTGGAAGCCCTCAACTCAGATAGCTGCTGTGTGGGCCGTAATGCTTTTTCTTTGTCACCGGTCGCATGTGAGCTCCTGGCCCTCCACGCCTTACTCTATCTTCTCCTGATGCTGGTGCTCGTTCTCGACCGTGCTATTACGTCGTACCTCTTAACGTCCCTCTGTTTTGTTCCCTCTTCACTCTTTCTTACATGTTACCTCATGCAGTTCCCAGTGGTCGTGCGATGACTAGGTTTTCAGGAGCAGCCTTCTCACAGAACAGCATGCCTGGCAAAATGTTCATTCGTATTGGATGTGCCTGTTGCGTTCTGCTACACGTTGTAGATGGTTTGGGTACCTGCCCAGTATTGTTGCATCTTCTCTGTGATCTGTGCAATTATCATGTCAATCTTTTTAGATGCCTGGCTACTCTTGCTCGCACCAGCAACACCATTTTACTCGATCGTGCTTGCAGGGACATCTCTCCCGCGGCTTCTCCATGGCGTCTTCTGGCTCAACGGCTTGTTCCTCGTCCGTGAAGATGAGATTCAGTGGTCCGTATTTTGCTTGTGACGACTTGCATGGCATGCACTTGCAGGGGCGAATCGGTAGTTTCGTTGAATCACCGCGGCTTGCTACAGTTTGAATCGGCGGCGAGCGAGGGGGGAAATGAGAAGGGGAAGACCTTCTCAGAAGGCGGCGGGATTTCTTAGAAGCTCTCGCTCCTTTGAGATGTTCTCTTTGTCTTCGGGGAAGACTTAGAAAACTTCTCAGAAGGCCAGGGGACTTCCGAGCCTTCTGAGAAGTCCTGCCCCTTCTCACTTCCCCCCGGGCTCGCCGCCGATTGAAGAAGTGTTAAGAAGGGGTCAGGGAGCCGAAGTTCGTAATCTGTGTGGTCTATCCAACGTTTTATCTGGCAGTGTGCTGCCCGCTTTACAGCACTCTGCAGCGTTGGCTTGGGGCGTTTCAGAATTCCGTTGGGACCACCTCGGGGCTTCCTTGGGGCGCCGTCGGTCCATCTGGGAGCCTCTTGGGGACTTCCTTCGAAGAAGAGACAGCGACATAAACATAAGCTTTCGACGGTCCGCGCGGATTTCTTGGAAACGCGTTGTGGCCCCCCTGGCGGCGCTTCCGGCGCCGCACCTGGCGCGCTCCGCGCGCCAGGGAAGGGAGGCTTGGCGCAGATCCAAGAAATCCGCGCGGACTGTCGAGAGTTTACGTTTATGCAGTTTTTTTCATATTCTAATCCTGGGGCCTCTACGGGGGCCGCCTCTGGCCTCTCTTGGGTGATGTTGGTGCTTTCCCGGGCCTTACCCCCGGGATCCATGGGAGCATGTTTGGGCCGACCTGGGGCCTTGTTCGGCCATCTTGGGCGATGCTGGTTGCATTTTGGGGTCTCTGGATGCCTGCTCGGGGCGAGTTTGGGCAATCTTGGAGCCACCTGGGGCCTTCAAGTGGGCCACCTTGAAGTAATCTTTGGGGCATGTCGGGATGAGCACGAAAAATAGCCTCAGAGGGCATCGCAATACCGCGTGATGGTCGCGCGCCAGACTGCGATGGAATGCGCAGGATCTTGCCAGAGATGCGAGAGGGCCTCCTCACCACCCGCTGCCTGGACAGCGTACGCATGAACTTAACACTTCCGTGTCTTTCTCGGTCGCCCTCTCTTCTTGGGTCATGTCGGGAGAAAGGAAACATATGCAAAAACCATAAAGCATCAAACATCTTTGGGTGTTTGAATTGTGCCCGTCGGAATTGCGACCGCCCCCATGGCTCGGGAATCGCTTGTTACAAGAGTGCCAAGTGGCACCTTTCTGCTGATCATGGCTACTGCTAGTTGTAGTTGTAGTGGTTCGACGAGTCCACGCGCTTCTTGTCGACAGCAACGGACGCTTTTGAAATGCTACTCGCGTTCTGGCTTTAACATTACGAGACTGTGGCACCGTGTCAGTCCTGGACAGTACGATCTATTCGTTGCAGACTCAGCTACTGGTCGCGTTGCAGCTTCGGGTGTTCTGGGCGTCTTGGGCCTCATTGGCAGGTTCTGGGCGCCAGCTTTGGGCCACCCCGAGAGACCATCATCCTATGCTGTTTTGGGCTCTTGTGCGAAGCCTCTTGGGTACAGCTGGCCGACTCTCTTGGGTACAGCTGGCCGACTAACTGTGTCTCCACGAGAATCCTGGAGCACCCTCGAGCGTCCACGGGGCCGCGGGACACCCTCCTGGGGGGCCCCTTCTGTGCGCCGCTGGGGCCCACCACGAGAGGGGACAACGGAGAGGGAAGAGGCAGAGAGCAAGGGGTAGGACGGGAGACAGAACGAGGCTGGCAGGAGGAGGAGGAGGAGGAGGAGGAGGAGGAAGAGGAGGAGGAGGAGGAGGAGGATTTCCGTCAGGGAGTTTCGCAGGCTTGCGTCAGGGGGAGGATTGCAAAGGGAGTGATGTCCCCCGCCCCGTGATTACGACTGCTGCGCATCATGTCCACGCGCGATCTCTCTTCAGCATGGAGCTGCACTCATCAGCGTCGTGTGCTACCTCCCTGTTAAGGCCAGTTCCTTCTACATATCGTGCTGCTCCCCATGGTGGTACAGGAGCCTGCGCGCGAAAACCGCCGTCTTCGCTCGCTGTGCAGCAGATGCTCTGTGGCAGTGATGTGGTGGACAGCCAGATGCGGTCTGAGACACGGGGAGTGGCCTAGTGCATCGTGTTGGGCGGGTGTGGACCAGACCTGATGCAGGGTAGTATGACAGAAGTGAGCTCTCTGCATACGGTTGTGTCGACATGTTTTAGCTCCTTGATCATATCTTTGAGTCGAAAGCCGTTCTCGATCCACTCCTTCTTCAGCTTCTGTTCCGCCCTTGCCTAGTTTGTCCTCTCATTCCTCCCCTCCTCTACCTTCCCCTGCCCCTACCCGTCCTGGACCTCACCTACTTCCGAGGCTGGACAGCAGCGCGGATCCCCCACACCTTCTCGAGCATGTCCTGCCAGGGAGGCCGGCTTCTGGCCAACAGTCGATTCTCGGGACTCAGGAGACGGGGGTCAATGCAAACGGGGGTCAGTCAGAGCGCCGGATCTTGCAGGATCCTGTAGGGCCAGGGGCGCATTTACTTTGGTTTGGGTGCAGGATCCTGCAGGATCTTGCAGGCCTGGCTGACCCGGGCCTGGATTGACCTGGGTCAGAAGAGCCCCGAGATTCGCGTCGCTTTAGCGCCGACCAGCGTCGATCAGCGCCGGTTAGCGCCGATTCGCAAGAGCCAGCAAGACGACGTGGAGAGCTCCCACAAGTTACCACAGAAGGAAACATGCCTGCGAGGGCGGCTCCCGGAGTGCTGGTCCCGTGAGCCAGCCGCATCGCGCGCGCACGCGCCGTCGGGACGTCGGCT